AGTCAGATGGATCTCTGAGGATGTTTGATCACCAAGCTGTTATGGTGGCCACACAGTAATAAACTCCTCCATCAGTGACATTGAAACTGTAAAAGTCTCCTTCAGATACTTTGATTGCTGCATCTCTGCTGGTCTTGAACCAGGTGAAGCGGCTCACAGGAGGTTTGGCTCTGCTGGAGCAGGTCAGGTTCACCCGGCTACCTGCTGACACCCGACCTGATGGACTGATGGACACTGAGGTGTTCTTGGGAGCATCTGAGGAAAATGTAAAATTAAAACTTCATGCAGCTGACATTGTGTGAACACATGAATCAACGTATGCTGACAGGATCAAAGAACAAACACTCACATGAAACACTGAGAGTCTTTCTCTCCTCTGACGCCTTTACATCTTTTCCTTCATTCACAGGATATCTGGCAGAACAGCTGATGATGAATCCATCATGTTCATGTGACAGAGTGATGCTCTTCTGGATTCTAGTTGTGAAGGTTCCATTTGTGTTTTCCTCCATCATGTGGTGAGAGTCTGGTTGGAGGTTCCAGGTGAGTTGAGGAGAAGAGTGTGGACAGGGAGTGGAAGCTGAGCAGCTTATAGAGACAGACTCCTTCTCCTTCACATCACCTGAGATCTCAATCCTGGGCTTTGGAGGAGAATCTGTGGTTTCAAATCAAATACAGATTGTACACTGAAAAAAGAGCAACAAGACTTGAGTCTACAGTCTGTGATGAAAGTACTCTTCTATATTTGAGAGTGAAATGTTTTTCTTTTACTCCACTATCAGATGCAGCATCTCTCCGTCACTGCTTGGAATAAACCATATATTTATCAATTATGTTGTGTTTCCTGCAGCGATTTTAGTCCCAAACACTTGATGCAAAGTAAAATATTACCTGGCTCAATATGCAAAGTACTAAAAGATTTGTTTTAAATGACGAGGCCGTGTTCTGCAGTTATTCAACAGTTCACGTTATCGGATGATGACGAATCCATCAGCTGCTCCACAGATGACCAAGAGTGACTCGTACAGCAGAGAGTAGGAGAACTAAATATTAGATATTAAGCCACATTTGATTTTAGGTTTGAGTTGGTTTACATCTTTAACGATTGAAACGTGTGTACTGTTATATACACTAGTACAAGAACCAATGACTCTTCTGGTTTTACTGTTAATGATGAAGAGGATCTATTGCTGCAAAGTAACGTGGGATGGATGTTAAATAGAAGATGTTTTGTTGTAATGATGCATCGCACATTTAATTTTTACAGTCTGGCTTTAATTCACCATCTGTGTCTCCAAAACGTCAAAAATGTTTTTATAGATTAAAACTTCTGCTTTTAAAGTGGCTCGGCCTCTTTAGGAAGCCAATTTGTGCAAACACCATGAATATAAATGAGACCTTAAATGTGTAAAAAACACTTTTTTGCAAATCTCTATGGAAACAAAATGCTGCGTCCTAACAGACTAACAAATGTAACCAAGTTCTGTGTTTACCTTCTATAGTCAGATGGATCTCTGAGGATGTTTGATCACCAAGCTGATTGGTGGCCACACAGTAATAAACTCCTCCATCAGTGACATTGAAGCTGTAAAAGTCTCCTTCAGATACTTTGATTGGTGCATCTCTGCTGGTCCTGAACCAGGTGAAGCGGCTCACAGGAGGTTTGGCTCTGCTGGAGCAGGTCAGGTTCACCCGGCTACCTGCTGACACACGACCTGATGGACAGATGGACACCGAGGTGTTCTTGGGAGCGTCTGAGGAAAATGTGACATTAAAACTTAAAGCAGCTGACATTGTGTGAACACATGAATCATCGTATGCTGACAGGATCAAAGAACAAACACTCACATGAAACACTGAGAGTCTTTCTCTCCTCTGACGTCTTTACATCTTTTCCTTCATTCACAGGATATCTGGCAGAACAGCTGATGATGAATCCATCATGTTCATGTGACAGAGTGATGCTCTTCTGGATTCTAGTTGTGAAGGTTCCATCTTTGTTTTCCTCCATCATGAGGTGAGAGTCTGGTTGGAGGTTCCAGGTGAGTTGAGGAGGAGAGTGTGGACAGGGAGTGGAAGCTGAGCAGCTGATAGAGACAGACTCCTTCTCCTTCACATCACCTGAGATCTCAATCCTGGGATTTGGAGGAGAATCTGTGGTTTCAAATCAAATACAGATTGTACACTGAAAAAAGAGCAACAAGACTTGAGTCTACAGTCTCTGATGAAAGTACTCTTCTACATTTGAGAGCATTTTTTTTAACTTTTACACCAAGATCAGATGTTTGATTATGAATAATTTATTAAATAATTAATAACTTCATAATGAAGCAAAGATTAGAGTCCAATATATATATATATATATATATATATATATATATATATATATATATATATATATATATATATAGATTAAATTACTCATATGTGCCGCAGAACCTTTTCTCTCTTCTTTTCCCACCAATCACCTCATGACCCCTCAGATTGAACTTGTGACCCTTTATAGGCAAAAATAAAATGTTAACTTGCTAATTAATGTTGTCAAAACGCTGATGGTAAACAGTCAAAAAATTGTTTAAAACTTTTAAAACTGTTCGTTTTTCCAGCATTAGTGCAAAGGTCGGCATGTTCAGGAAGCTTTCTCATGGGATTCTTAATAGTAGTAAACAAAAACATAAATTCATATCCAGGAAATGTAAACATTTCAATCCCTGGTTGGTGTCTGTAGATATTTATATTCACATTAAAAGTTTGAATAAAACAGAAACAAGTAGATGCTAAGTAATAACATCTCAGATTGTTTTATGAAAAACAAAAGTCTCTAACTGTTATTTGAAGAACATCACAAACAGCTGTTGCTAGAAATGGCCGGTTCTCAACCCTGAAGTAGTATGTGTCTGTGTATGTTGTTTTTAAACTGGAAAATAAAGTGGTGCAGTTTTTCTGACTCAAGTCTCCAGTAAAACTCATCGGATATGTGGAAACTGTCCCACTACTGTTGAAAATCACATTATTTGGATGTTGGCCAAAGTTATTTATAATCCACACTCCAAAGGTTGTTGTTGTGCTGTTGAATTCCAGTCCTTGTTTAACACTGAAGTTACATGGAATTTGCAAACAAGATCCAGTCAGTGCTTCCATCTCTTTTGGTGCGGTGATGAATAGACCTGAATCCTCAGAACAATCAGCAGAAGCACCTGTGAAACAAACTAATGATTAACAGTGGTGATTAAAATGTGTAAAAACACAACGATAACATGAACACAAAGAGAAATATACTTCAGCAGTAATGTTTTGTGTTGTTTGTTCTTTTTTTCCCTGAACAGTTTTTGTGTTGATTCATCTTTTTGGTTTTACAACTTTCCCCCACAAGGCCGAGCCCAGTGGGACCAAACCCGTCTCTGTCTCCAAATAACTACGTCACTTTTGTCTCCGTGATAAAAGAGCTCAGCAGGAAAACACAGATTGTAACACTCACATGAATTTAGGTTGAAATGATATTTTCCAAACAGTAAATGATTGAAGTGAAACACAAGTGCGTGAAGATGAAGCTCACCTGAGAGGAAGAAGACACTGTGCAACACGATGGCTGTCACCATCCTAACAGACTGGTCGGCCATGACACTCACCACCTGATTCACAAACACAACATCAGTGTTCTAGGAAGCGTTCAACATGCTGTGTGCAACCACAAGTTCCTGTGTGTGAAGAGACCACAGCTCACAAGTCTGTGGACGAGTACGACTCTGAGTGTTGGATGAGAATAAAACTATGAATGTCTCCCTCTTACCAAAGAAGCCCACGTCCATAACAGAGGGACAATTAGATCAAGTGCAGGTCTTTGTTTTAGCAGAGTTCTCCCCTTAACTGCTCATATCCGTGAGTCTATATTATCTTTATGTATCACACACATCACAATAATAATAATGTAGCATTAACAGTCAGTGACTTGAGTTTAGTCACTGTGAATAACTCTGAGTCTCTGTTGCTCTGCATTACAGGACTGATGAACCTCACACACTTTCATTGTGTGATTATAATTTAAACTTTAAATAAATGACTTTAGCTAAAACATTTCCTCATTCAGAGTTTCTACTTCCTCTTCAACTCAAGTATTTATTCAAATTTTGCACACTCTCACTACATTGATACAACAGGCATTCGGTAAACTTGTTTGTGAATAATTTGAAAGAAATCTCTTGTAACTTGATGATATTTCAATAAAAAGGATTGTAAATCCATAAAAATGAAGTATTGAAGGTGACATTAACTTACATTGAGTGAGTGTTTCTTCTTCAGTGCAGTCTGCTGTCTGACAAGTTAATGCAGAAGTCACAAGTCTTTGAACCAAGATGGTCTGTGAGAGGAAGGAGGAGGAACTGGGAGGTGGAGACAAATATCACTGCTGGTGTTCCTGTAAATGGCAGATAAAATATAATTCACACACACTTGTATTGTACTAAAACCACAACAAAACTGTCTATTAATTCACCAGCCAATGATTAAATAAAATGAAACTCCTCCATCATTAAAGCAGTAAAAGTCTCCTTCAGAAAGGAAAACGTGTTGATTAAATAATGTTTTGGGGCTTCGGGTCATTAATCTGTTGTTTCCGAATGAAACGTCTCTTACCTTTAACTCTTATTTAGAAGGAATCACAAACAGCTGTTGATAGAAATGGACGGTTCTAAACCCTGGAGTAGTATGTGTCTGTGTATGTTGTGTTTAAACTGGAAAATAAAGTGGAGCAGTTTTTCTGACTCAAGTCTCCAGTAAAACTCATCGGATACGTGGAAACTGTCCCACTACTGTTGAACACCATATTATTTGGATTAAGGCCAAATTGAGGGTCATATTTAATCCACACTCCACTCCGTTGTTGTTTTGCTGTTAAATTTCTCTCCTGATTTAGGGCTGGAGTTACACTTTGCAAACAAGATCCCTGTGGTGGAAATTTGAGCGAATAAAGGGAGACCTACAAAGAGAAATTTTTCTTTGTATATTTTAACAGACTTCTGCGCAAAACGACTGAGCCGAACAGTTCACAATCAACCAACTGCTCTGGAATCGGTACCGAGAGGATCCCAGTCAGGGTTTTTATATGCTTGAAGACAGTAAATCAATGATCATCATCAGAGGGAGACAATTAAATGATACAGAGATGTTCAGAGAGGGTTTTTCAGTCTCTGTTCCCAAGGACAAGTGGATCAATTATATGAGTTGATGCACACAGTTCAGGTTTAGCTGGAAAAGAGTTCTGTGGGACCTTCCATTATACAAGTGATTTGGTGGAACTCAGCACAACCAATTAACCGATAAGCCTTTCCATCACAGGCAAAAGGTTCGATGGGACGCAAGCTCAACATTTCCAGTTCCGTAGATGTGCATCGTGTGCCCCAGATGACATGGGAACAGGTTCAATAGTGGTGCAGTTCACTTTCCCTCTACATCTTCCCCTTCAGATCATACAGGACAGATAGATAGATGAAAATAAAAAAATAAAAATCATGGCCATAACACATTACAATATATAACAGTGCACAACATCATGGTTAGAATCATTTACCATTGTAAAAAGATTCACCAGGCATGAAAGAAAAACCCGTTCACGGGAAAAAAATGAGGAAGAAATCCCTCAAGGAAGGATTGGACAGAAATCAGGTTGATCATCACAGTACTGTTGTCACATTATGGAATGATGTAAAAGATGTACAATACAGTCGAATCATGTTACAGAAATAGTTGAAACGCACATACATGTTATCATAAGCATGGGAAAATCAAAACACAAGTGAAGGAAATGAGTAACAGTAATTAAAGTAATATGCCGTAAATGGTTACATATTTCACAGCACACATCAGTGATATCACGTCATCAAGATTTAAGATAACACGTCATCAATCCTTCTGTCTGGCCTCTGTGTGCGACCTTTGTAGTTCGGTTCCTCTGATGTGTTTGATTGTAGCTTAGCACGCTACTTGCTGGCAGCTCCAACAGATGGTTGGTGTTCGTCAGGTCCCACGACACGTTCGTTGGTAGCTTAGCACGCTACTTGTCGGCAGCTTCAATAGCTTCAATCACAGCGGTCTGGCTCATCAGGAGAACCTAGAACGGACCTGTGAATCGCCGCTGCTTCCAGTGCGTCCTCCTGAAGTCTTTACTCAACACCCAGTCGCCAGGCTTGATGCGGTGTTCTAGCGTGTCAGCTGGTGTGGGCAGCGTGGCTTTTACCTGTGAATGGAGAGCTGGAAGAGAAGCCGAGAGGCCTACGCAGTGATTCAACATGCAGTCATCATAGAGTTTGGAGTCTCGAGAAGTAGCCCCTGGTCTAAGCCCTATGTTTCAACAGCACCTCTGCTTTGTGGGTGATAAGAGCGATGATATTTGAGGTCATAACCAAGAAAATCAGACATTTCCTTCACAGCTTGATGCTTGAGTTTCGTGGGGATCCCCCACCATGGAAGGATTTCTCTGAGAAGAAACTTGGCCACTGCACCTGCATCCTGTTTTGAGGAAGGACAACTTCAACACATTTGCTGAACCAACACCAAACAATATTTCTTTCCTTCACAAGTTGAGAGTTTTAAATCCTCTGATAAACCAATTGGCATTTATAGCTGTGTTCATCCCTCCCTGTTAGGGTCCCTATCTGTTTATCTGCCTCCCCGTCTGTGCTTTTGTTTTGTTGTTTTTTGTTGTTTTTTGTCAACCTAGAGTTTCCACCCCTGTGTTCTGGCTCCGAGTCCCGCCCCTCTCTCAATAGCTCAGCTGTGGCTCCTTCCGGGGATCACCAGTGACGGGGATGAAGACTCCTAAGTCCAGAGGCTAATCGTCAGTCCGTCCCAGTACCCAGGCTGGTCTCAGGTGCCGTTGAATGTCGCTATCAGACGTAGCTAACCAGTTTGCTTGTTTTTGCTTTTTGTCCTGCAGTGTCAGACCCACGGAGTACCACGGAGTACACGTGACTCGTTTTAATCCAACTCTGGTTATGATGTCGGACCTCCGGTATCCACACTGGAATCCTGCCTTATCCCCCCAGGCCGCAAGACATCGGTGGAGAAGTTGTTCACGTCCCAGGTTGTATGGGAAATAAAATCATTGGCTACAAATCAAACTGCTGTGCGTGTGCATTTGGGTCCACCAACTACACCCCCTAACACTCCCTTGCCCACGGGTCTGTTCCATGTGCTAGCTTAGCATGAAATGGAAAGGCAGCCTGTGGGAAACACTGCTTTGAATCAGGCAAACCAAATTTCTTTTCAAAAATGTGGCTCCAGCTTTTGCCCACAGCGCCTTCTGTGCAGAAGTAACTAGTGGTTGGATGGTGGGGACCTACTGAGATGAGCATCACATTTCATCACCTTCCTGGCAATATTATAGCATTCAAAAGATCTGAAATAAGGTGATGATTAGCTACAGGTTTCCAGAGGAGGTGAGGAAACCTCTGAGTCGCCAAATGGCACCAAAGTCACGGACCACTCCAAACGCATAACGAGAGTTTGTATAGATGTTGGTTGTTCTGCCCTCGGCGTGTTTAAATGCCTCGTGAGTGCTATTGACTCTGCAGCTTGTGCTGAAAAATTAGATGGTGATCCTACAATAGCATGTTGGGTGACAACAGCAAAACCTGTTTGATTGTTGCCCGTCTTATTTCTTGATGCAGAACCATTCACAAACAACTCAAGGTCAGCGTTTGGGAGAGGTGTGTCTGAGAGATCAACCCTTGGCAAACACTCACCCAGAATCTGCACACAGTCATGAAAAGTTTCTGTGTTATCGCCATCTTTCTGTGTCGGGAGAAGAGAAGCAGGATTTAGACTGGAACAGCGTTTTACTGTGACGTTGGGCATTTTCAACAATGTGGTGTGACATCTCAACCACCGCTGCGCTGACAAGTGAGATGTCTTTTGTGTGTGTAGAATGTGAGCTAAAGCATGCGGAACCATGAGGTCGGAATATCCTACTAAATCTCTAGAGGCTGTAACTGCCTTCTCTGCAGCTGCTACAGCTCTGAGGCAGAGGGGCAGGCCTGCTGCTACTGGATCCAGTTTTGTAGAAGAAAAACAAGCAACAGGTCTGCGTTTATCCCCATGTTTCTGACACAGGACAGAGGTAGCGTATCCACCCCTTTGGTCGACAAATTGGACCAATGGCTTGTTTGGATTTGGTAAGCCAAGAGTATTCTCAATACTACGGTTCAATTCTACAAAGGCCTTCGTTGCTTCTGGAGTCCAGGTTATTTTGCATCGAGCTGTCAATTGTTTGCCATGGACAGTTCTAAATAGTTAAGGATCCACTGTCTGCAGTATGACGTCATTCCTAGGAAACACTTGTTTTCTTGTTTTTGGCGTTTTGCCCGCTGCTTTGATCAGATGTCCCAGATACGTTATTTTTGTCTGGACAAGTTGAAGTTTAGAGCTGGCTTTGTGACCATTGTTAGCCAGAAAGGTCAAAAGTGCAACTGTGTCTTGTTTTGCATGCTTCTTCTGAGGGCCTAGCCACCATGAGGTCATCCACATGTCGTCATCTAACCTGATAGGAAGTTAGTTTTGTAAATTTAGGCTCAGCTGCAGATGAAAGTTTGACATGAGTATCCTTGTGCACATCTTGCTCAGGTGTAGCTACGCCCCTGGAAGGTGAATGCCAACCAACATTCACACTCAGGATGGACGGGCATGGAGAAAAATGCATTCGCCAAATCAACTACTGGACAAAATGGTATGTGGACTAGAAACCTCAAATCATCACGTGGGACAATTGCGCTGTTTTGGAACGTGTCTCTGCCTCGTCCTTGCCTCCGTCCCCGCGCCCCGTTTGCCATTGCGTTGTATATGGTCAGCTGGCCGTCGTCCAGTCTCTCCTGTTTCCTTGTCCTTCTTAGTGCGTCCTGACCATTTTGAACATCTTCCTCATGCTCAGCATAATGCATAATGTCCGGCAAGCTGCAGGACTTCCAGGAACGGCGACAGGCCTTTGCCAGTGGGGGGGGGGGGGGGGGGGGGGCTTCTGCCTAAAAAAAAGGTGCCAGCCGAGAACCCCCCCTAACATTTGGGCCGTCCCTACCCATGGGGGACTGGTTTAGTCCATCCCTCCCTCTCCAAGCACTTATCCTCCACCACGTTTCACGGGGGGGGGGGCTGTGCGAGGAAGCCAGAGCACCCGGAGGGAACCCACGCAGACTCCACACAGAAAGGCCACTGGGTAGAGTTGAACCCACAACCTTCTTGCTGTGAGGCGACAGTGCTAATCACCACACCACCGTGCCGCCCATTATCGGTTTTAGTGAACTTAAAAAAACATTTTGCGTGAGTCTGCGCCTTTGTACATGATATTACTTCTTTATTCTTTAATGGAATATCTTATGCAATCCTACATTGTCTCATCCCTCGTACACATAACATATTCTTTGAGTTGAAAATGGCATTTCCTAATGAATTTTATTGCAGAAAGTTGTACTTCACAAGTGAGAGTACTGCAGTGTCTGACTAAACAATTTCCCCTGTTCTTAAGTTCTCAGAATTTATTGAGAGTGTTAGATACTCCCCACTTCTCCTTATTCATTTGTTAGAGCCACAAAGCGAAATAACGGTTTCTCACCTCACTCAGAGTCACAACACCCACTAAACATGTGGAAACATGACAAACAAACTGCCACGGTGAGAGGAAGATACTTTTCATTTTGGTCGTCTTGTACTGAATAAAATGTCGTCCTGAGGATGAATATTGATGCATTATTAACTGGACTCCTGCTCATGTGCATTCAAATTTATTTCAATAATTGTCTTGTTTTGTCATTTTAGAAACAACAGTTATGACATGAACTGTTCTGTAAGATTACCCCAAATATGAAACCATATTCTCTCCAGGCTTACAGGAGGATGTGCGCTTCTTTCCTATTTACGCATTAATTAATTATTCTTTGAGGTCCATCTTGTTAAAATGATGCTCTTGCTTCTACAAAGTCCAGATGTTGTGTGTTATTTTTTACTTTGAGTGGGAAAGTGGTGTTCATCAATAATCTGCATGCACCTGTGGACCAGGTGAGCTGATTTGTGTGTGTGTGTGTGGATAGATGTGTTTATTTTTATTTCTTATTTTTATTTCCTTATTTATTTTTCTTCAATTTGTACCCTATGGTTAAGAATCACTGAAAATATGCAATATGTTTGATTCATAATAGAGAAATTATTCTGCTATTTAACCACACAAACTATGATTTTACCACTGGTCCTGATCACACTATCACACCTGTATGTCAAGTGTCTCCACGTTTGTTTTCGTGACTTTCTGTTTTATTTTGGAAATTAACTCTCGTTTCAGGTTCCTTGCTCTTCCTGATGTGTCACCAGACTGGTTGTCTGCCCTGATTCCTGATTGTGTCCACTTGTTCCCGCTTCCCCCATGTGTTCATATAGTCTGCGTCTCCCTTTGTCTTGTGCCAGTGTGTCGTCCTACGTCGTCATTCCAAGATCCATAGTCATAGTTTCTCTAGTCTCGTGACCACAGTTTTACCTCGTTCGAGTGATTTTTCTTTGTAGCTCTTTTTTGTTCCAGTGTCAGGTCTCAGTTAGGTTTAGATAAGTAGCTTTGTTTTCCTCCTTTTGGAGTGACCTTATTTTTGGATCTGTTAGTACTCTGTACTATTAATAAACTGTCATCCTATACACCTGCTCTGCGTCTGAGTCCCGCTCGGTTCTGACACACACATGTTATAGTTTCAAACGCTATAGGCGTGCTTTTCTGCTTGAATTAAACGTGCATCAAATGTGTTCAATGATTGACTTTGTAGGAGTCCCTCTGGAGTCTTTCTATTGGCAACGCAAAGTCTTTATTGGAGCTTCTATGAGGTCTGAAGCCACGGCGGCTGCTGAGCATCACCTGACCTTCTACTGCTAAGGCCCCTTCTTCATTCTCCAGGCAAGGTGATCATGCACGACCCCTTCGCCATGCGGCCGTTCTTCGGTTACAACTTCGGCGACTACCTCGCTCACTGGCTGAGCATGCAGACCCGGAAGGCCCCCACTCACCTGCCCAAGATCTTCCACGTAAACTGGTTCAGGAAGAACCCGGCGAACGGCGGCTTCCTCTGGCCCGGGTTCGACGAGAACGCGCGCGCCCTGGAGTGGATCTTCAAGCGCTGCGGCCGGGAGAGGGAGGAGGAGGCGGCCAAGAGGAGCATCATCGGCTGGCTGCCAGAGGATGGCGCCATCGACACTAAAGGTCTGGGCAGCGATGTGGATATGGGGGCCTTGTTCGACGTGCCCAGGTCTTTCTGGCAGAAGGAGACGAAGGAGTTGAGAGCCTACTTCTCCCAGCAAGTTGGAGCCGATCTACCTGCTCAGGTGGAGGCGGAGCTACACACGCACACACACACACACACACACAGCTTAGATCCCTAATCACACTTATTGGTTTTACTCATGTAAACATGAACCCTGAGTCCCGAGGACCAGGTTGGGATTTGGCTTAGAAACATCTGACCCCTAATTGGTTTTTACAAGAAGTTTGTGAAATGAAATGCAGGTTTTAGAGAGTTCTAGTACTCGCTGCTCATCAAAGATGGTTTGTGTCAGTATTTTAATTGTTTGAATTTCAATGATCTGATAAATGGAAAGCACCATTTAAATAAAATAAAAACAATAGCCAGGCCGTTAACTTTGTGTGTGTAAAATAATCACAACCAGTGACTCATCTTTCTCTTTTATGAAGGGAAATCTGTTAGGAATAGAAATGTCAGAGATAAAAAGTCTACATTGCAGCAACGTTGGACGTGACTTTCCACTAATTGATGCCGGTGGGAGGAGGGAGGTTTGTCCCAACATGAAGGTCAGATTTCTCAGACGTTGAACATAAAGAAGCTAATGTCACTAAAACACAATCAACACAACCTTGTTGTGCCTTTGAGATGTTAAACAACTCAACTTTTGGGCTGCTAATGTTTTCATGCTGAAACCCAAAGATTATCTTTTGAGAAAAGTCACACAGTTTTAACCTTTTTTTTAAAGTGTATTTTAGCACCAGATATTTTATTATACAATTGACTGAGTTTCAGGAAAGGCCCTTTCTATTTCTCGTTAAGCTTTGCATTCAAATAAATGAATAAAAAGACCATCAAGTGGGAATTGTTGTGCATAATTCATTCTGACACTTGTGTAATGTTTGTGATTTAAGCTGTATGATGTTTGCACACAATATTTGAAATGATGGACCAAAAAATGCAACGGAGATTAAGTCGTGTTTTTGTTTTTTATTACGTTGCAATTAATACATATCTTGAAATTCAGTAAATTGTCTTTTGAAGAAGACGAAATAGAACAATAAAACATTAATCCAAAAGATAACTAAATGAGTTTTGAAGACACCTTTTAAAATATGCAACAAAGAAAAAATCATAAACTGATATATTAACAGGGCTTTCTTTGAGAATACTTATACTTACTTACTCTATTTAGAGCAGTGGGACTATTATTTATACTAATCGTGAATACCTCAATATGTCAACAATGTATAAAATTGCAGGGTGCTGCAGGATGTGGAGGTTTGAAGTTCCCCTTTAATTAACTGTGAGCAGTGAAGATTACATTTTCTTACGATTCTTTTTCGCCATAAACTGACAGATGAAGCTTGTTATTTATGTAAAAAGCATATTAACAATAACACCCAAATGTGACCACAAGAAATGGCTCATTTTCTCTTCACTTGAGCGTAGAGATCCTCTAGGACGTCAGCAGTCCGTGTGACGTTGTCTGCTGCCTTGGACACTTTGACCTGCGCATACAGCGTGTCCTCCTGCTGTCCACCGTCCTGCTCCGAGACCGAGGACGGTCCAGATCTGAGCCTCGAGAAGTTAATCTCTCCATAGTGGACGCCTTCTTCTTCTGTTGTCACTGTCTCTCCAACAGGCTGATTCTGCTTGAAAGAATAAATGAAGCAAACAGGAAGTGATTGTGAAAGCCGCTTGATTCCAAATAACAAAACCACAGAGTTGTTTGGTGTGTTCTCACCTGACTCTGATGTGCAGTTGGATGTGGAGACTTCAAACGCCTGCAAGACAAAATGTTGGGTCTAATACACAGAGTACCAAAAAAAGACCACATGTCATTGAATACACATTCTTTACTGATGCTACTGACCAAACAAAGACAACCAGGCCGATGAGCACGATGATCCCAATGATTCCTCCAAGAACTGCACCCAATGGAAGATGATCAACTCCACCTCAAGACAAGATGAAAAAAACAACAGTGACAAAATAAAGACACTATGGGAATGTAACAATATTGATTGCTGAAGTACCTTTATTAGTTACCTTCTATAGTCAGATGGATCTCTGAGGATGTTTGATCACCAAGCTGATTGGTGGCCACACAGTAATAAACTCCTCCATCAGTGACATTGAAGCTGTAAAAGTCTCCTTCAGATACTTTGATTGGTGCATCTCTGCTGGTCTTGAACCAGGTGAAGCGGCTCACAGGAGGTTTGGCTCTGCTGGAGCAGGTCAGGTTCACCCGGCTACCTGCTGACACCCAACATGATGGACTGATGGACACCAAGGTGTTCTTGGGAGCATCTGAGGAAAATGGGACATTAAAACTTTATGCAGCTGACATCGTGTGAACACATGAATCATCGTATGCTGACAGGATCAAAGAACAAACACTCACATGAAACACTGAGAGTCTTTCTCTCCTCTGACGTCTTTACATCTTTTCCTTCATTCACAGGATATCTGGCAGAACAGCTGATGATGAATCCATCATGTTCATGTGACATAGTGATGCTCTTCTGGATTTTAGTTGTGAAGGTTCCATCTGTGTTTTCCTCCATCATGTGGTGAGAGTCTGGTTGGAGGTTCCAGGTGAGTTGAGGAGGAGAGTGTGGACAGGGAGTGGAAGCTGAGCAGCTTATAGAGACAGACTCCTTCTCCTTCACATCACCTGAGATCTCAATCCTGGGCTTTGGAGGAGAATCTGTGGTTTCAAATCAAATACAGATTGTACACTGAAAAAAGAGCAACAAGACTTGAGTCTACAGTCTGTGATGAAAGTACTCTTCTACATTTGAGAGTGAAATGTTTTTCTTTTACTCCACTATCAGATGCAGCATCTCTCCGTCACTGCTTGGAATAAACCATATATTCATCAATTATGTTGTGTTTCCTGCAGCGATTTTAGTCCCAAACACTTGATGAAAAGTAAAATATTACTTGGGTCAAGATGCAAAGTACTAAAAGATTTGTTTTAAATGACGAGGCCGTGTTCTGCCGTTATTCAACAGTTCACGTTATCGGATGATGACGAATCCATCAGCTGCTCCACAGATGACCAAGAGTGACTCGTACAGCAGAGAGTAGGAGAACTAAATATTAGATATTAAGCAACATTTGATTTTAGGTTTGAGTTGGTTTACATCTTTAACGATTGAAACGTGTGTACTGTTATATACACTAGTACAAGAACCAATGACTCTGCTGGTTTTACTGTTAATGATGAAGAGGATCTATTGGTGCAAAGTAACGTGGGATGGATGTTAAATAGAAGATGTTTTGTTGTAATGATGCATCGCACATTTAATTTTTACAGTCCGGCTTCAATTCACCACCTGTGTCTCCAAAACGTCAAAAATATTTTTATAGATTAAAACTTCTGCTTTTAAAGTGGCTCGGCCTCTTTAGGAAGCCAATTTGTGCAAACGCCATGAATATAAATGAGACCTTAAATGTGTAAAAAACACTTTTTTGCAAATCTCTATGGAAACAAAAAGCTGAGTTCCTAACAGACTAACAAATGTAACCCAGTTCTGTGTTTACCTTCTATAGTCAGATGGATCTCTGATGATGTTTGATCACCAAGCTGATTGGTGGCCACACAGTAATAAACTCCTCCATCAGTCACAATGAAGCTGTAAAAGTCTCCTTCAGATACTTTGATTGGTGCATCTCTGCTGGTCTTGAACCAGGTGAAGCGGCTCACAGGAGGTTTGGCTCTGCTGGAGCAGGTCAGGTTCACCCGGCTACCTGCTGACACCCGACCTGATGGACAGATGGACACCGAGGTGTTCTTGGGAGCATCTGAGGAAAATGTGACATTAAAACTTCATGCAGCTGACATCGTGTGAACACATGATTCATCGTATGCTGAAAGGATCAGAGAACAAACACTCACATGAAACACTGAGAGTCTTTCTCTCCTCTGACGTCTTTACATCTTTTCCTTCATTCACAGGATATCTGGCAGAACAGCTGATGATGAATCCATCATGTTCATGTGACAGAGTGATGCTCTTCTGGATTCTAGTTGTGAAGGTTCGATCTGTGTTTTCCTCCATCATGTGGTGAGAGTCTGGTTGGAGGTTCCAGGTGAGTTGAGGAGGAGAGTGTGGACAGGGAGTGGAAGCTGAGCAGCTTATAGAGACAGACTCCTTCTCCTTCACATCACCTGAGATCTCAATCCTGGGCTTTGGAGGAGAATCTGTGGTTTCAAATCAAACACAGATTGTACACTGAAAAAAGAGCAACAAGACTTGAGTCTACAGTCTGTGATAAAAGTACTCTTCTACATTTGAGAGCATTTTTTCTAACTTTTACACCAAGATCAGATGTTGGATTATGAATCGTTTATTAAATAATGTGTTTGTTGTGTTCTGATGTTTTCTGAATGTCAGCAGATTCATCGACATTTCTCCTCTGAACGTCTCACATGGCTTCATTTAATAATTAATAATCTTGCCAATTGCGGCCCTCGAGACGATATTCTGTGGCCTCCACCTCCATGTTTTGATGTTCTGGTTTCCTACTGTGTGTCTGTCCAGAGAATCCGACATGCATGTGAGTGACATGGGGGGCGTGGGGGGGGGTCCCGGAACGCACATGAAACGACGCTTAAAACAGCGCACTTGACACTCACAATGCAGTGGACTTATTCAGGCTAAACTGCAGTGACGGTACCAGTATTTGTGTCAATGATCAATAAAGTGGCATCTTGAGCAAAGGCGACTTCTTTGTCCAGCGGAGAAAACGAACGACACGCACACACACACACACACACACACACACACACACACACACACACACACACACACACACACACACACACACACACAGATGTTGGATTATGAATTGTTTTTCTTTGTTTGTTAAATAATGTGTTTGTTTCTGGCTTCTCGTCATTTTTCTGATGTTTCTGAATGTCAGCAGATTCATCAACATTTCCCCTCTGAACTTCTCACATGGCTTCATTCAATAATTACACTACTTCATAATGAATCAAAGATTAGAGAAAAGTCCAAAATATGTACTAGCAGAACTTTTTTTCTCTTTTCTTTTCCCACCAATTACCTCACGACCCCTCAGATTTAATTTGTGACCCTATAGGGGAAAATTGAATGTTAACTTTCACTAATTAATGTTGTCAAAACTCTGATGGTAAATAGTACAAAAAACAGAACTTTTGTAACTTCTACCCTTCCAAGCAATAAATAAAAAGTCGGCATGTACAGGCAGTTTTCTCCAGGGATTAGTAATAGTAGTTAACAAAAAGTGTAAACATTTCAATCCCTGGTTGGTGTCTGTAGATATTTATATTCACATTAAAAGTTGAATAAAACAGAAACAAATAGACTCTTAAGCCTGATTAAAGCCCAGTTTAAGCTTCTGCCTTTTCACACCTCCTTGCGTCCTTGCGTGTATCGACCCATTTTTCTAGGCTTGCGTCGAAAGTGCCGCAGCGCACCAGGCTGCGATTGGTCCGCTAACTACGTCCTTTACGGAGTCTCACATTTCCGCTTTCATAGCCCGATACCGCCATTATTAAAACGAAGAATGTTTACGAGAGAACGGATCAGATTAAGAACTTTTGTCGGAAGAAATGTGTAAATATGACCCGGGTTGGATTCATGGAGGGAGATCTCCGCAAACGCCGGTTTGCCGGCCGAGAGCTGCACAAAGTTGTGGAGGAAAATACGACAAATGTGTCCGCGATGAAAAGCAACAGTGGCGATGCACGGGGCAATAAAGTGTATGATAAATAAATAAACAAACCAACAACTTCCACACACAGAGACGCAAGACTTTTAGAACCATGAATTGAAGCGAGTGCGTCGACGCAACGACGCAGACGCAGAAGCGTGCGCAGCCTTAAGTAATAACATCTCAGATTGTTTTATGGAAAACAAAAGTCTCTTACCTTTCACTGTTATTTGTAATCCATCACATTCAGCTGTTGCTAGAAATGGCCGGTTCTCAACCCTGAAGTAGTATGTGCCTGTGTATGTTGTTTTTAAACTGGAAAATAAAGTGGTGCAGTTTTTCTGACTCAAGTCTCCAGTAAAACTCATCGGATACGTGGAAACTGTCCCACTACTGTTGAAAATCACCTCACTTCCATTTTTGCCAAAGTAAGGGATATTTTTAATCCACACTCCAAATGGTGTTGTTTTGCTCTTGAATTCCTTTTCTTGTTTAACACTGAAGTTACATGGAATTTGCAAACAAGATCCAGTCAGTGCTTCCATCTCTTTTGGTGCAGTGATGATTAGAGCTGAATCCCATAACAATCAGCAGAAGCACCTGTGAAACAAACTAATGATTAACAGTGGTGATTAAAATGTGTAAAAACACAACAATAACATGAACACAAAGAGAAATATACTTCAGCAGTAATGTTTTGCGTTGTGTTCTTTTTTTCCCTGAACAGTTTTTGTGTTGATTCATCTTCTTTTTGGTTTTACAACTTTCCCCCACAAGGCCGAGCCCAGTGGGACCAAACCCGTCTCTGTCTCCAAATAACTACGTCACTTTTGTCTCCGTGATAAAAGAGCTCAGCAGGAAAACACAGATTGTAACACTCACATGAATTTAGGTTGAAATGATATTTTCCAAACAGTAAATGATTGAAGTGAAACACAAGTGCGTGAAGATGAAGCTCACCTGAGAGGAAGAAGACACTGTGCAACACGATGGCTGTCACCATCCTAACAGACTGGTCGGCCATGACACTCACCACCTGATTCACAAACACAACATCAGTGTTCTAGGAAGCGTTCAACATGCTGTGTGCAACCACAAGTTCCTGTGTGTGAAGAGACCACAGCTCACAAGTCTGTGGACGAGTACGACTCTGAGTGTTGGATGAGAATAAAACTATGAATGTCTCCCTCTTACCAAAGAAGCCCACGTCCATAACAGAGGGACAATTAGATCAAGTGCACGTCTTTGTTTT